CCATGTGCCACACATGTTATTAGCTTGAAGACCAAGCTAACTATGTGGTCCACACATAGAAAAACTTGCCTTGTAAGTCAAGGCATGTGTCCTACAAAGTCAACACATATTAGAGGTCCTATAGAACGTTGCCATGTAGCTCCTAGTTAGATAGTATATATAGAGACAAAAGTGAAGCCTTCTTCACTCTTATCAACTCCTTTCTTGCTTCCAGTCTAGTTTTAAGGATCTCTAGTTTTCTTGTCTTTTGGCAATAGCCATTCTAGTTTCTCTTTCAATATACATACTTGATTATTTATATTTTGTTACCTTTCTTTGAGTAAAGGCTCACTTTTCTAAATTACTTTTTCATCGAGTTCTTGTCCTTGACAAAAGGCTTCCTAGAAGCTTCATGTATGCTACTTTGATTTTACATGTGTTTGTAGTTGATTAATAGGTTAGAAACTTGGTTAAAAAATTAACCACATGTTGAGCTTGCAGAACAAGCTAATTATATGGCATACATATAAAAAACTTGCATTGCAAGTATAGTTAACTGTCTTGCAAAGTCAACATATTTTAGATATCTTATAAGACATTGCCTCGTAGCTCTTAATTAAAAATATATATGGAGGCAATATTGAAGATTTTTTTTACTCTTGTTAATACATTTTTAGTCCTTATTCTTGTTTTAAGACTTTTTAGTCTTTTTGTCTTTGGCAATAGCCATTCTAGTTTAATACCATACCATCTCTGAGTGACTTTCTTATTCTTTTGAATGACATAAGAGCGTACTAAGAATTTATTTTTTTGAGGTTCATATCCTTGATAATTTGACAAGAGTGCTATCTTACTATTTTTGTCTTATTTTAGAATTAAGAAGATTATTCCACTTCTATTGTTGTATTTTGAAAGTTGTGGACTACATACCTTTAAACAAAAAATCTTAATTTCTAACACTAATTTTTTTCCTTAAAGAAAGTGGATTATCCTTCTTTGTGGAAATTTTCATTTGATATTAGAGGTTATAGATACTCTCCTCTAATTTAACTTTTTGAATTTTTTTGACTTGTCTATAGAAGGAAAGATTATGGATGCTACTATCAACAGAATTAAGAATAGATTTACAACTATTGCAGATTTTGATGGGCTTATCAATACTCTAAGAATACAAATATGACATATTTCTAATATAAATCATAGAGGTACTATTCTTATGTTTATATAAGAAGTTTAGAGTCTTTATCAAGAAGTTGAGCAATTGAAAGAAGCAAGTAAATTGACCTCACAACCAAATCTAAGAAGTTTTACTTTTACAAATATAAGAAAGACAAGGATTAATATGCCTGAAAAGTTTGATGGAACAAGATGAAAATTTCAAAAATTTTTGCAACAAGTCAAGCTCTATCTAAAGTTGTACTCCTTCCAATATCTTGATGGATTTATTCAAGTTAGATTCATAGGCACACTTTGATTAGAAAGTGTTCTTTCTTAGTTTGCACCTTTAATGAAAAATAATTTGTAATTTCTTTATAATTTGAATTCATTCTTAGAAATATTTACGATCATATTTGGAAAAAAGTGATTGAGAAAGAATTGCAGTGAAACAAAATCAGACTATGTCAAAAATCCAAGATCCTTCCAATCCACAATAGCATAAGGCCTTACTACAAAATAAGACAAAATAAATCAAAACAAGACTAAACAGACTTAAAAAAAATAGGGTATGAAAGCCAAAATGAAGCAAACTGAATTAAAATAGAATAGATCTGAACAAAAAGATGCAGAACGAAATTTTTTTAAGAGAAAGAGTTCGAAGCCATATTTGACCAAATGTCTCAAAAGGTCCTAGCCAATCCTTTCTATACCTTGTCCTACTACCTTGGACTTTCTAGAATGTTCTTATATGGTAGACTTCACTTAGATAACTACCTTAAATTCTTTTTTTAGAAGATTTGATGGTGAGCCTTATTTAAATAACTATCCTAAATCTTTTCTAGAAGGTTCTATGGTAGATCCTACCTAGTCCACTAACCTAACTTCAATTCTAGAAACTTCCATGGTTTTAATTATCTACATAATTATCTTATCTATATCTTGTTACAAAGAAAGATCAAGCTCTTATCTTTATGACAAGGATCTCAATCAGCCACTATATATGCTACTGAATTCCATATCAAAATATATCTCTTGTTATATATATCATCATATAGAAAAATAAAAAAATAAAAGAATTCTAAATGTTTTCACATAATTTGGCTCAAAATCAAAAATATATATATATATATATATATATATATATATATATATATGTTTTAGCCAAAGATTCTCATTGATTCAAATTTGACGTATAGGCCAACCTAATTTTGATCAATGGTGGATTATAAAATTAAGAATCATCTTCTTCCATACTTGAGAGGTGTGGCACCTAATTATAGTATCAAGCTTCACCAAATTCCATCCTACCTATAGATGTTAATGTGTAGATGAGATAACCAAAATTCAACTAACTCATGCTAAATTGGAATTCTACTCCAACTAATCAACAACTGCCATTAAAATTGGAATATATCTACTCCATCTTACAATACTTTTATGTAACCAAAAATATAGTAAACATAACAAGCACTAGACCAATATCTAATTAGAAGAGCACTGAACCTATTTCTAAGCAGAAAAGCACTAGACCTATTTCTAATAGAAGAGTTTTGAGTTGGTCATTAGTAAGGTGTCAGAACTCATCATAAATAGGATGCTAAACTTGCAGAAATATCCAACCCTATAGGTAGGAAATGTAGGGTGGTTAAGAATGGATTGGCTACCATAGTCAAATTGACTATTGATATAGGTGCAGAATTTGTGTGAAGAGTTGCTCGCTCCTTCCTGCTGCGACACTCATCCTAAGTTCCTGCATTACCGTATCTAGCTTGGGGATTTCTGCTCTCTTAATTGCTGCTCATTGATCAAAGTGAGTCTCGGTAACTTAGAGGAACTTCATGATTTGAATCATGAGATCTATTTGGATGGATGCGGCAATACAACGATCAACAACATCACGGAATCGAAGACAGAAGGCCTCAACATCTTCTCCATAGCATTCACAGCTGAGAAACTTGATATAGAGATGTTTCTTAATTAGCCCTGCTAGCTTGTATTGATCGCATGGATGATCTCAACATTCTCTGACAGCTGCAATATGAATACGCGCTTTTTGAACATGAGGTTTGCAGCTCGTGAGAGTAATCATGTGCTTCCCGTTTGTGATATGCATCCAATCGATGTTGAAACTGGTAATATCGTTCGTCCGTGTCCTTTATGAATGCTTCCGCCGCGTTATCTACGAACCTCCAGATATCAGCGGCAGGCAAATGTGCCCATACATTCAATTATCAAATCTCTTAGTTTAAACTGCCGTCTAATTTGAAACCAATAGAGGCAGAATCGAGTTAAGTAATTGACATTGTGCACGTAGCAAGAACAAAAAACACTATGTATATAGCTACAGAATATTTGTGACAAAGAGTAGAAGAGAAGATAGTTACGAGATTAGAAAGAAAGCTTGGCCTATAACCTGTGCAATCTTGTATAGACACTAAAAAGACAACAATCAAAGAACCCGACAAATGTAAGCAGAATGTTGAGAATGTATCCTAGCGTATTATGTATGAATTTCTGTATCCACAGAATACATCGTTGCTAGACTATATAGCGCAACTCTGTTTGATCGGCTATTCGAATTTAAATAATCCGATTCAGGCGCGGACAAAATGAACAGCTTGCCTTGACGTTAAGAAACTTCTAGCAGTTAGGGCATAGCGCCATCAGGATACGTATCAGGTAATCAACTTGACCAAGAGTGAACGACTCTTAAGAGAATTCCTACGCTACAAACAGAGTTTCGTTATGAAGGGTCTGAGAGAGAGAGAGAGAGAGAGAGAGAGATGCTCACAGCTTAGATTTTACTGAGTTGCAGTTAGTCGCAGGGACAATGGCTTCAAAATTGCTGCCTAGTTCAATTCTGGGATTAACAGGTGTGCTCGTCGTCCTAGTTTGATCCTCCAGGTCTGCTGAGTTCACTGCACAATCCAATCCCTTCATGCTTTCTCATTGTTGGAATCTCTGACTGAGGGTTCCGTATTCAAAAGGGGGGGATATCCGATCTCGATGGGTATCCTATGCGGATCAGTAGCCTCGGTGTTGATGAGGAAGATGAAGAGGCCAATACAATTCGGTCAGGTTTGATGTGGGTGCTTCTATTACGGTGATCAAAGTTAATTTCAATTGTACCATCAACAACATATAGTGCTTATATATATATATATATATATATATATATCTGGTATTGCATGACATTCTAGAATGAGAATGTACTGTGTCCTGATCGCGGTACCCATACTGTCTTTTAATGTGGCAATGTGAAATTAATACGAAGATGAAAAGAATTAACGAATGTAAAGAATTTCTTTTCACTGCACAATTTCCATCGAAAACGCTCAAATTAGTTTTTTCAAAAATCATTCTCTATGAAGTAAAATTGAACAGAAATATTGCGGTTACTGTACGAGCAGTAAAACTTGTTATGGTAGTTTGAAGAAACCTAGGAGCTACTTAGTTAATTGCGGGAACAATAGGATATTTATTGATTCATGTTTGTTACTGTATTTAGAAATCATGAAACGTGACCCTATTAATACTTTGACCACTGGAGTTGCTGAGTGCAATTCATGATTTCCATTTCCGTTTCCATTATTTAGTTTTATTGGTGATTCTTTTTGACCAAAAGCTATCGTATAGAAACTTCTACGGGAGTGGTGAAAGAAAATGGATGGTTCTTCTCTTGAAGAGCGTGAGTTCGGAGCTGCTGAATGACACACCACTTCGGACGCGGTTGGAGAGGAACAGGTCGGTGTGAACGCGGAACAAGAAGACTTTCAAGGTCCATAACATACGTGGAGGCGAGGCGTCGAGGATATTCCGCTCCAGAACCATCATCGAAGCTTGGAACGAAAGTGCATCTCCTTGGACGTCAAGCATTCTCCTTCTCAACCCTAATTGCTTCCTCTCTTTGTCCAGTCTTAAAAATTCACAAGTTTGGTATGTGCATTCTTCGTGGCCGAGCTTTGATCTGCTATTTCGATCGTCAAGGAGCTTAAACATACATGCGAGCGTTATCTAATCCGGATTTGGTACCATTTGCCGAGGTAATTGAAGCTCCTGTGGTGATACTGATGCATTGAATTGTCATAGATTGTTCTGAATATGGGGTGTTCTTTACAGCGGAATTTGGCGACAGATTGAACTGGTGAGGGGTGTTTGTCAGTGTTTGAGTCTTATTTCTTGGGGAGAAGCCTAGTCTTTGTGCGTGCGTGCCTGTGCTTGTGTTTTTTCTTTCTTTCTTTTTGTTACTGTAAGTGTCGTGAGCATCTGCATTCGGAATTTTGAAAAGCCTAAGGTAATTCGAAGGATGAGCCTAGTGCAGTTTTAGAGATCTTCTTAGTTTCGGAGCGATATTAATTTTTGATTTTTCAGGTCTGACCCAGTTTATTCTCGATCAAGATTCACTCTTGTTCGCGACTAGAACTATACGAAGCAGAGTCTGAGGGAGGTGGACATAGTGCGGCAAGGGGTACAGGAGTGTGAGATATGAAGAACGAGGACTCAGAGTTGCTGCAGGTAGCAGTGGCGGAGCACTTGAAGCTGCTACAGAAGAAGCAAACGTTCGAAGTTGCTGCGAAAGCTCTAACTACCATTGTCCAGGAACGCTATGTACGAGCAACTCCAGCAGAGCAGCACTCAGTACGTGTCGATGTCGAATTCTCCTGTCACAGCTTTCTGGTTACGCTAATTTCTGCGTGGTTTGATAAATTCGTAAGCATTTACCTTAAGTTCGGAATGACCCACAAGACACTGTCACCAGGATATCATACAATTTTAGGAGATGCAATTGCCGTTGGAAGATGACTTATTCAGTTTAGAAATCGACCGTGGATTGTTTAATTTCATAAGAAAATACACTGCTTCACTAAACAGGCTTCGTGTGCAGTTATTTGTTTCTCTTTTCTGCATTATGTTCAGCAGCAATGGACGGGGCATTTTTTAACCTTGAACATTCTCAAGGGAGGAAATGTTTGTAATAATCGTTGTTTCATGTACCCTTCCATTTGTGTGCAGATTTACGGAGCAGTGTGCAGGGCAGCCACACTTTTGACTACAAGATTCACCAGCACAGCCTTTTGGGTGGCTGGCCTTCTACTTTTCGAATCTGCTGCAGCTGTTGTGAAAAGGCCCGAGGAAAAGAAAAAAATTAGCGGTTTCGTCAAACAAGCAAACGAGTTTCTTGCAGAGCAGATGGAGACGGATGAATTTGTGCCTCCTGCAATGCGTGCAGGGCCTAGTAAGCTTTCTCTAACTTAGTGAGGGGTGTTTTACCAACTGCCATTATTCCATAGCCTTTGGATGTTAATTTCGACCTGATTATGGGTTGATTACCATGAAAATGTATGGTTACTAACAATCCTCGTGCACATGTCATGTTCAGGTACCCCAGCTTATTTATTTGAAGGTCAGTTTCCTGTTGGAGGAGGAGCAGCACCACCACCCCCACAGTGGTTGCAGTCCCAGAATCGTCTCGCATCTTTAGTTCGAGATCAGGTTAACCAAATGGCAGCAAGGGAGCAAGCTATTTCTGCCGAGGGTCGCAATGACGAAGAAGCGGAAGGTGGTCGGGAGCGAACAATGCAACAACTGACGCAACAACTTCTAAACGTAATGGAGACAGTCAATGACAGAAATGCAGGAGAAAACATGGCCCTCAGTGATGAATTTGTTGGGCTTGAAGAAGCCATTCAAGCAACCCTTCAGGTAACTTCCGCTAGTTACTTCCGCCTTTCAAACAATCCCGACTATTATATGTTAGCCTGCAAATGCCTGTACGCTGTAGATGATGCAACCTTTACAATGAGAAGTCCTCTCTAAAATTGTGCTCTGTTTGCTTATAGGAAATCGGCAGTGTTCCACGCGGTCCACCCCCAGCATCTAAGGAGGAGGTCGCAAAGCTTCCAATAGTTGAAGTTACGAAGGAGTTTCTTGAGAGAGTAGGAGCGGATACCGAATGTGCTGTTTGCCGGGAGGGCATGGTAGTAGGAGACAAGTTACAAGAAATGCCTTGCAAGCACAACTTCCATCCTGCTTGTCTCAAGCCTTGGCTGGTAGGAAGTGCTCTTATATACCTTATCATCTCTCGTCATTTTACCTAAATTGAATCAGGTTCCTTACCACTCCTATTCAAGATAGTTTGTGATCGAAATGACTACTATGAAAATTTCTAATGCTCTACTTTTCGTCCATGCAGGATGAACACAATTCATGCCCCATATGCCGGCATGAAATGCCTACCGATGACCATGAGTACGAGCGACAGAAGGAGCGAGACAGAGAAGCTGAAGAGGAGCGAAAGGGTTCTGAGAACGCACTTAGAGGTGGAGAGTTTATGTACATATAGATCCCTCCGCCATTTCGATTAAGCTTAGACACTTACAAAACATAGCTAATAGTAGGTGATAACGTCATTACCTCGTGGTTAACAAAACATTCTTTCTGTATATTTACTACTTCGTAACAGATTCGTGCCAAAAGTCTCTAAGCATCTAATATATACCTAATTATACGCTAATGAATTTAAATGCTTGTGATGACTCAATTCGAGACCTATGTTTCTTAGTAATAAGCACCTGTCGTTCAGCTGAAGAGCTTTGACGTAAGAAAGTTATCACAAAAATAAACAACCGTTCAAAATGTTAAAAAGACTGCCTATTGTCTGAAACAATTTGGAGTCCAAACATCTATATAACATTTAAACATTAGCAAGGTCTATAAGACACACACGCCGAAAATATGACACAAGCTCAAAATCCTTGTCATATAAGGAAGAAATATATCTCTTCTAACTTTGATTAGTATTTTGCTACACATGGCATCTAACAACAATTTATCACATGGCACAAAGGAAAAACAAAACATCGTTTAATGCCACTAAATGTATGTTCTATAATACAAAACTTGTAAAATACTTAGAAGAAGCCATCTGTTGTGCAACTAACCTCCAAAATTGGTGCCCCACTAAAGCCATACTTTGCAACAATACATTGTTTGAACTTTGACATAAGGAAAAATCAGATATATCTCATTTTTAAGTATTTAGCAATAAAGCTTTTGTGAAGATCCATAATGCCTTTTGATTGAAACTTGATGATAGATTGTATAAGTGCATTCTCCTTGGTTATTGTTTCATGAGCAAAAGTTACAAGATATCACAGATATGAATTACAAAGAACCAAATGAACAATATACTCTTGTTATCTAGAAAAGAGTAGATAATCTCTCAAAGATGATATAATATTAAATTAAAATGGGTATTATCAAAGATAAAAAAAAATAGTCTCTTAAACCAAAACTAAAGATAAGAAAGGCATTTATAAGAGTGAAAAATGCTTCATTCTTGCCTCTATACATGTTATTTAATTAAGAGCTATGTCGTGAAATTCTATAGAACCTCTAACATGTATCCAACTTATAAGACATTTTTCTAACTTATAAGATAAGTTTCTTACATGTACGCTACATATCTAACTTGTAAGACATGTTTCCTATTTGTGCACCACATGGCCAATTTGTACCACAAATTACCAACATATGCAATATATGATCAACTTATTAGTTAAGTTTTCAACCTATCAATTAAAATTAAACATATATAAAATTAAGTCCATATCTATGAAGCTTTTGAGAAGTTTTACCACAAGATATTATTAAATTTACCTACATTTATTTTCTATCTAATACTTCTTAATTAAGTAATTATTTATGACTGATATTATTTCTCCCTTCTCAAGATGAGTTCTATGAATAGTCATCATATGTTGAAAAAGTCAAAGATGCAACAAATTAAATTTGCTATATACTTTAATTTTTTTATTTTTTATTTTTTATTTTTTTAAGATTGTTGATAGATATCACAAATATATATATACTTATTCTAATATTTATCTATATAATTAAACAGAAAAAATAAATTTATTTCATAATATTTTCTAGAGAAGCTTTCTAGAAGCTTCATAGATGCTATTTTGACTTTATTTGTATTTATAGTTGATTGGTAGATTAGAAACTTGGTTAAGAAGTTAATCATGTATTAATAGCTTGTCGAATAAGTTAACTATGTGGCGCACATATAAAAAACTTGTTTTACAAGTTAAGACACGTTTCTTACAAAGTCAACACATTTTGGACGTCCTATAGGACATTGCCTCATAATTCCTAGTTAAAAGTATATATGGAGGCAAGAATGAAGTTTTCTTCTCTCTTGTCAATGCCTTTCCACTCCTTAGTATTTTTTTAAGACTTTCTATTCTTCTTATTTTTAGCAATAGCCATTTTAGTTTAATATTATCTTTGAGTGATTTTCTAGTTTTTTGAGTAGCACAAGAGTATTGATACTTTGACAAGAGTCCTAATTCATTGTTCTTGTCTTGTATTAGAAGTGAGTGGATTATCCCTCTTTTATTGTTGTGTTTTGAAGTTCGTAGATTATCCACCTTTAAATAAGCTATTTAATTTTCTAACAAAGATTTTTTCTTTAAAAAAAATCAATCACTTTTCTTTGTCGAAATTTTTATTTGATATTTGAAATTGCAAATTATCATCTTCTAATTTGACTTAAAGATTTGTTAAGTTGTTTAAAATGGAAGAAAAAATCATCAATACTATACTTGGTGGAAGCAAGAATATATTTGCAACTATTATTGATCTTTTCAAACTTGTCAATACTCTAAGGATTGAAATTTTTTACATCACCAATACCAACTATGGAAATACTAATTCTGCATCTATACAAGAAGTTCAGAATCTACATGAAGAAGTTGTGCAATTAAAAGAAGCAAGTAGATTGACCTCACAACGAAATCCAAGAAGTTTTGCTTTTACAAGTATGACAGGGATATTAAATGATATGCTCAATAATTTTAATAGAATGAGATCAAAATTTCAAAGATTTTTGCAACAAGTCAAGCTCTATTCAAGGTTATATTCCTTCTAATATTCTAATGGATTTACTTAAGTTGGATTCATAGGCACTCTTCTATTTGACAGTACTATCTTTTGATTTATATTATTAATGAAAAAAGATTCACAACTCTTTTATAATTTGAATTCATTTCTAAAAATATTAATTATTATATTTAAAAAAAATGATTGACATAGAATAATAGAAACCAAGCTCTTATCAATTTGATAATGATCACAGTCAGTTATCATATGTACTGTTGAATTTCAAAACCTTACTTGCAATGTGGATTGGAATGACAAAGCTCTTATCAATCAATTTTGATATGGATTGAAAGATAATATCAAAGATTTGTAATTGACAATGCCAACAGTAGAATCTTTGAAATAATTTATTTTTCAAGCCATTGCATGTAACAATTAATTATTTGAAAGGCATGAAGAACAAAGACTTGGTTGAAAAAAAATAAACTAAGTAATGATTATAGCTTCCAAGTTTTCAGAAACTTATTTATTAAGACTGGAACTAATGCAAATTGATACAATATGTTTTAAACTTTTTATTGAGCAAGATAAGATACGACATTATTAAGAAAGTTTATGCTATATTATGGAGAAACTAAACACATTGTTCAATCTTGTTCAAAGAAGCAATCACAAAATGAAGAGCACAATTGCCAAACAAGACAAAGTGTTGGAAAACGAATTTTTCCAACCATAATAGAGATTGTGCAGCTAGAATCATGTACAACACCTAATAAAGGTCATATTTTCTTTTAAAAATCTTCATCTTATTTTAAAATAGATGTATATTTAGGACCTAAATATCACAAAGTCTTTATATTATTAGATGCAAGAGCCTCAATTTGTTTATAGACGAAGACTTTATCAAGAAACAAAAAATACCTTTAATTAAGAAAACTAAATCCATACATGTAGAAGTCATAGATGGTCATTTATTATCTTCTAGAGATGATATTAATGAGATTGTTCTTTTAGATGTAGCAATTAAAGATCATAATAATATAGTAATATTTAATGTGATAAGATTTCTTCTTAATTTAGTTATTTTAGGATTATTGTGGTTAGAAAAATATAACCCTCAAATAGATTAAATTTCTTATAATCTTAACTTTTCTTGTAGTTTAATCCAAAATTTTGATAGTGAAGTAGAAATAGATAAGCCTAGTATATCCAAATTCTTTTTGGTATGTACAAGAGCTTTAATGTATGTTACAAAAGAATGGTCATCTTTTGCTATATATACTACACCTATTTTTAATGGTAAAAAGATATCATATAATATTCTTAGCTAGTATCAAGATTTTGAGGATGTTTTTGAAAAAAAAAAATGTACATATTCTTTTAAAGCATCAATCCTATGATTATTCAATTGATTTGTAAGAAAGAATTCAACTACCATTTGAACCAATCTTCAACTTATTATAAAATAATTTGGTTGTACTAAAAGAATACATTGACGAGAATTTAACTAAAAACTTCATACTCCATTTGAAATCTCTAATAGCAGCTCCTATCTTATTTATGACAAAATAAGATGGATCTCTATGGATGTGCATAGATTATCAAAGACTTAACAAGATCACAATTAAAAATGGATATTTTCTTCTTTTGATTTTAAAACTTTTTTGATCAACTCAATCAAGCAAAGATCTATTTAAAAATAGATTTATAAGGAGCATACAACTTGGTCCTTATCAAAGAAAGAGATGAATAAAAGATTGCTTTCTAAACTAAGTATAGACATTTCAAATATAATGCCATATATTTTGGACTCAAAAATGTACTAGCTGCTTTTCTATATCTTATGAATGATATTTTTTGTAAGTTTTTTGATGATATTATTGTTTGTTATTTAGAAAATATTCTAATCTACTCTAAGAACACAAAAAAATATAAATTTTATATTTGACATATATTATAAAAACTTAGAATATAAGATTATATGCAAAGATAGAAAAGCATATTCTACACTACTTAAGTTGATTTCTTAGTACACAACATTTCTAAGAAAGGATTAATAATAGATCTTAGGAAGGTCCAAACTATCATAGATTAAAAGATCTCAAAAATAATCAGAGATGTATAATATTTTTTGAGATTTTTCAATTATTATCAAATTTTCATCAAGAGCTATTCTCAAGTTGTAGCTCCTATTACACATTTGATATATAAAGACAAACTTGAGTAGAAAAAAGAAGTTGAAATAAATTTTGAAGCCTTAAAGACATCATTTATTTCTACACCAATTTTATATCACATTGATTTTTTTAAGGTGTTTTCCATAGAAATAGACACATCAAACTTTGCTTTAGATGTTGTTTTATAATAAATGGAAGCAGATGATAAGTTCCATTCGATAGCTTTTTATTCTAAGAGATTTTTTGTAGCTAAGATTAACTACGAGATCCATAATAAAGAACTCCTTGCAATTATAGATTCATTTCAAAAATTGTGTCATTATTTAGGAGGCACTTAAAATTCAATTATTGTATACATGAATCATAAGAACCTCAAGTATTTCATATCAACACATGTTATGAATCTTTGCTAAGCTTGTTGGAGTATATTTTTATTAAGATTTGATTTCAA